TTTTCAAAGTTCGTTCAAGCACTTACTAAATATGCCGCGTCGAAGCCACTGATTCTCCTTCGTGGAGTCCGACAGCTGGCCACGAACATCTTTAAGTGCGACGTCCAGCCTGGTGTTGGCATCCTGAAGATCATTCTTCTCTCGCCTCACCTTTGTCAACGTACGGTATATATATATTGACCAAAATTTTCTTACCCGTATGTCTTTTACATACCGCTCTGTGGCTCTGGCTAAACCATTTTGAGCGGCACGGAGGTACGCATCTCCCGAATTAAAGGCATCTAAAGCCTCTTGGGAAAAACAAGCGTCGCGTAGAACTATCCGGCGACGCCTGTGGTTCATGGCACTCTCCACTTTAGAATTTGTGGTAGACAGCCTGTCCGTATCCTCTGTCGGAGGAGCGTCCGGTGCGCGCCTTGTGCTCGCCTCCGCTTCCTGGCCAGACGTTGGAGCCTGGCTGGTGGAGGCGCGATTGGCAACCTCTCCGGATATAGTCCGGCGAGGTCTCTTCGTTCTGAAGATAGCACAAACGTTAATATGCCCGGACAGAATAAACACCACGGAAGCAGAGGGTGTGCTATACCTTTGCGTCGGCATCTCAGTCCGGACTACATTCCTTTTTGCCCCCCGGGGCCCTGCGGCCCCTCGTTGGCTAGCTGCCGCAGGTTCGGCCTCCTGCCTCGGAAATCTCCCCTGCAAAACACGGTTGTCATCAGAAACACCGGAATACGTGAGAGTGGAATCTCTCTCAAGGGAATGAGACTCCGGTTTCTGTCACCTGGGAGGCCGGGATTAACCCTGGGTAATCAGCCGTGATGGCTACCAAGGTATTGTCCTTGCTTAGCTGATGGAACACCCCATCGATAAGCTCCACCGATATGTCCGGATCCTCTTCGGAGTCCGGATCGAGGAACCGTTCTAGGTCCTCGGGTTGTGGAGGGCGGCTGTTTATATCCTTTACTACCTGTCGCAGTTCCTGCATTGAAGTCGTTAGACTACATATCTAACCGTGGGAGTACAAAACAAACGGGCAAGCGCAGTTGTTCACTTACCCAACTTGGAGGATCGTACATAGTAAATCCGGCCTGCGGGTTGACGCGGAAGAATTCCTCCTTTTCTCCCTTGTACAAAGAGGATAAGATCTTTACTAGGGCGGCAGCTGAAGCCGGCCCCTTACGACCGTAATGGGTGGCGTCATCCTCCCCGTTGAAATCCCACATGGGGTGGCCTCTATATTGAAGTGGCTGCACCCCCCGCATAATGCATGCGGCCATGACTCCAATCATGGTTAGTCCGGAATGAGCCAACAGTCTTATCCGGCCCATCAGGTAAAGGACGTCTCTGTCGCTTTCTCTCTGAGAGCTCCGCGGACGCCAGCTCAAGCGTTTCTTCAATGGAGCACTGTTGAACTCAGGGAGACCAACCCGGATAGGGTCCGGTAGCGGGACGTCATCTATATAAAACCATTCCGAAGGCCAGTCCTCGGACGCCTTCTTCGGGGTTCCGGATAGGTATCCAGTTCCGGCGATGCGCCATACTTCGGCTCTGCCCACTTGGTATATAGACCACTCTTTAGAACGGGGCACCAGGCAGAATAACCTCTTCCACGGTGCAAAATGAGCCTCAACGCCTAAAAATAGCTCGCAAAGGGCGACGAAACCCGCAATATGCAATATGGAGGCGGGCGTGAGGTTGTGCAGCTGGAGGTCATAGAACTCCAGAAGCCCGCGGAGAAATGGGTGAATTGGAAATCCCAGTCCCCTTATTAGATAGGGGACGAGGCACACCCGCTCTCCTTTAGAAGGATTGGGGGTGCTCTCCGCTTGTTTTCCGCCATTATAGGTGGCGAGACCGGCTCGGACCGGGACCATGTCTGCCTGAGGGAGAAATCCCTTGGCCTGAAGTGACGCTAACTCGCTATGCGGGATGGTGCAACTCTCCCAGTCCCCGGGTTTGGGACCAGAGGAGCAAGGGGGGGGGGGAGCTGCGACGGCTGGTCATGTTGGAATGGACCTTTGCTGGAAGCGCTCTGATGATAACTCGCGGAAAGGAGAAGATGTGGTTTGGACCTAAATCCCCATCCCGTTAAATAGGCGGCTCGTTTATACGGCTAGGGGTGTGGATGTAAAAACACCCCGGCTTTTCGCATTCGTTTGAACACGTGGAAGACGGCCATTATTGGGCGTGGAAGCCGAGGAGCACTACATTACAAAAATCGGACATTATTCCTACAGGTACACAAGATTTGGAGAGGAACCCGCCTTGCAATGCCGAACAATCTGCGCGCCAGACTCATCGTTATTGAAGCCTGGTTCGGGGGCTACTGAGGGAGTTCTGGATTAGGGGGTGTTCGGGTAGCCGGACTATACCTTCAGCCGGACTCCTGGGCTGTGAAGATACAAGATTGAAGACTTCGCCCCGTGTCCGTATGGGACTTTCCTTGGCGTGGAAGGCAAGCTTGGCGATGCGGATATTCAAGATCTCCTACCATTGTAACCGACTCTATGTAACCCTAACCCTATCCGGTGTCTATATAAACCGGAGGGTTGTAGTCCGTAGGGAGTCAACTCCATACACAACAATCATACCATAGGCTAGCTTCTAGGGTTTAGCCTCCTTGATCTCGTGGTAGATCTACTCTTGTACTACCCATATCATCAATATTAATCAAGCAGGAGTAGGGTATTACCTCCATCGAGAGGGCCCGAACCTGGGTAAAACAAAGTGTTCCCTGCCTCCTGTTACCATCCGGCCTAGACGCACAGTTCGGGACCCCCTACCCGAGATCCGCCGGTTTTGACACCGACAATGACCATCTCCGGCAATGGTAAACAACCGATCAGACGATGCTGCAACCATTGTCAGTTTTTGCTACGACCGGCCACAATTTTTGCTACAACCAACTGGCCACTCTGCCTCTCACGACAGTGACGACAATGTTTTTTGCTACAACCATAATCTAATTTTGCTACGACCGCTAATTTTTTTTGCTACAACCAAATGGCCATACCGTGCCTCGCGACGGGAAGACGACCGTTTATGTTGCAACCGCCGTTTACTTTTGCTACTACCCGGTGAGACAATTTGCTACTATCAGTATGATGGTCTGGCTTATTAGGGATGATAGACTACTCATATCAATAAGGAATTCCTTCTTTTCCGGGAGCCCATTCGGATAGAACTCCAAAGTTAAGCATGCTCAGCTTGGAGTAGTGTCAGGATGGGTGACCGACCGGGAAGTTGCTCCCGGGTGCGCACGAGTGAGAACAAAGTGCGCAGAAAAGACTAGTATTGATCTGTGGGGCCAGTCTAGATCCCACCAGGAGTAACGACCACCGGCGGGTGTGTCTGGGGCGTTATAAGTTGGTATCAGAGTCGACCCTCGCGGTTACACGGATGTTTGTGTACAGGTGCGTGGTCATGTTGTTCATGACGTTTATGACCCGTCGTGGCACACGACATGGTACATGTGTCGGACTGGATGCACAGACGTATGTGCCAAGAGGGAACGTTCCTGTGGCCCGACGAGGACGTCGGTTCCTCTGAGTGGGGGTGTATGTGATGACCTGGCTTATTAGGGATGATAGACTACTCATATCAATAAGGAATTCCTTCTTTTCCGGGAGCCCATTCGGACAGAACTCCAAAGTTAAGCGTGCTCAGCTTGGTGTAGTGTCAGGATGGATGACCGGCCGGAAAATTGCTTCCGGGTGCGCACGAGTGAGAACAAAGTGCGCAAAAAAGACTAGTATTGATCTGTGGGGCCAGTCTAGATCTCGCCAGGAGTAAAGACCACCGGCGGGTGTGTCCGGGGCGTTACAATCGGTGATAATGAATTTTTGCTGCCACCCTCTACTTTTTCTACTACCGGCGAGGGTGAATTTTTGCTGCAACCGCGGTCTACCACCGTCTATTTTTTGCTACTACCACTGAGGTCAATTGTTTTTCCTACAGCTAGTAATGAAAATGCTGCGATTGGCACACACGACAAGCTACAATCAATGCGGCGACCATGTTTTGTTGCAACCGCCATTGCCGTTTGCTACAACCAACAACAAAAAAGCTACCTCCGACAATGTGATTTGCTGCAATGGCAACACCGAAGTTTTGTGGTGGCGACCATGGTGTTACGCTTTTGCTGCAACCGGAAGCATGAAAAGCTACCACCGGCGGTCATTTTTGCTACAACCGGCAACGAAAAAGCTACAATCGGATATGTGATTTGCTGCAACGGCCACGACGAAATTTGTGGTGACGACGGCGACGCTGCGATTTTTGCTGCAACCGGCAGCGGGAAAAGCTACAACCGGTGTCATGTCTTGCTACTCCCGGCAAAACCCGACGAAGGTTGAAGCAAATCGTGGTCGCCGTCGTGACTGTCGACATGAATGGTTGTAGCGATTCCTGTCACCGGTCGTAGCAAAAATGAACAATGATTGAAGCAAAATACATCTGCACGTGGATGATGAAGGAGAAAGGAATGGTTGGGCGTGGCCATGACGATAGGGCTGCGGCGAGGGGCGGTAGCGGAGCTGCAACCTGGGCTTCACCCGTCGCTGCTGATAGCTACAACCGTAGGTGCAACTGTTTCATGGGTCAACGCGGCGACGAGGACAAACGGCACAGGTGGGGACCGGCGACGAGGGCGGCCGGCGAGGATGGGGACCGGCGACGAGGACGGCCGGCGGGGGTGGGGACCAGCGACGAGGTCAGTCACCGGAGGGGAGGGAGATGTGAATCCAGCGAGAGGAAGAAGAAGCTGCGGGGCAAACCCTTTTTTTTTGCAAGATCCAATGGCCCACGCGGCTCAAATCCAATGGTCCTGACGCGACCGGCCGAACGGTTGGGCCTAGTGCCTAACTCAACTTTGTACTAACTTTGTACCTATTTTGGAACGGGGGTAGTACACAAAACTCAGCAAAAATCGGGCCGATCGTCCTACTGGGCCGCTGGCCCATGTTGGCGCGCCCGTAGCGCTCGCTGGCCTCTCTCTCTCTCCCATGCCGCCGCAGCTCGCCGCCGCCCTCCGCCGCCACCTCCTCCTCCCCCACCGTTCCCCCCTCCTTCCCTCCCGCCACGTTAGCCTCTCCGTCAGCCACTCCTCCTCCGACCAAAGCGACATCGAGTACGCTCACCCTATCCCCCCCGCCCCCGACGACGACGGCGAGCTCACCTCCTTCCTCCGTCGCATCTCCCACGCCTCCTCCGTCGCGTCTTCCCCGAAAGACGCCCTCTCCCTCCTTCTTTCCTCCTCTTCTGTCCCATCGCCGTCCCCTCCCTCACTCGTCCGCGCGCTGTGGGAACTGCGCCGCGACCCGGAGGCAGCAGCGCTCGCGCTTCGCTGGGGCGACGAGTGCAGCGCCACGTCCGGCGCTGAGGGGGCGGGGTCCCTGCCGGCCGAGGCGTGGCACCTGGCCATATGGTCGGCGGGGAGGGCTGGGCGGTTCGACCTCGCGTGGGCGGCCGTGCGGCGGATGCAGCGCCGTGGGGTGCTGACCCGCCGTGCCATGGTCATCTTGATGGAGAGGTAAGGTCGCATGCACATAATCTTTCATCATTTCATGATATTATTAGGTGTAATCAAGCATTTGGCCAGCATAGTACTAGTACTTTATGATAGTGCTCTTGTAGAACTATGTTCCGTTGTCTATGGCTCTATAATGTAGGCAAAATTTAGATTTTGTCTCGGTGTATTGCGGTTTAAGGATTTGCCATTCGGTGTCTGATCGACGTCTGGGTCCAGGCCAAATGTAAGCGACTCATATTATTACAAAGACATAAATTCCCCTAATAAAAATGTTTGTAAACCCATTTTGAGTGGGTTGGTTTGGTTTCTTGGAGTGGTATTGCAGTGAATGTGAGCCAAGGGACTAGGTATATAACCAGCAACGGAGTAAAGGAGGTGCTTACTTTACTAGAAATCTCAGTAGATTTGCAATAAAATACGTACATCATAGCAAAATTGCATTGCACCGATACAAACACTGGCGTGTTAGTGAAGTAGACACATAATTCTGAGAACAAGAAAAGGATGATGGTCACACTGGTGAGTTTTCTGCAATGATCCAGTGCTTTAGGTTGGGTTTCAGGTAAACAGGGGAAAAGTACGACTGTAGGAGTGAACAGTGAACACAACATTCTGCTGATAACTTTTGTGGCATTCGACATATTTTGTTATGCAATGTGCATTGCTTCTATTGTGGTCATAGAAGGGGGGTGGATGCTTGAGCTATAGGTGCTTAAGTTATTTTGAGAGCTAAAAAGTGATTGCCTGCTTGCAAAAATGTTGTTGACATAAGAAGTTTTATGACTCGTCTTCATAGGATATTCTAATCTTCTAGCCATGTGATGATGATAGTATAGTGAGTGATGATTGACATGTATTGTGTGAGTGCTTGGCTGAATTTACTTTGGTTCAGTTACTTGTTGTGTTGATGTTTGAAGTTTCAGGAGTGCTAAACTTAGCATCTTGATTATTGAGTGTGGTGTTGTTGCTGTCATAAATCCTATATTCGCGCTTTTAGTGTACTTGATGTGTTGGATGGAACATATAATTCCCTACATCTGAATCTATTTACTAGCGCTGCTATGGGGCTCCTCTTACATTATCGGATCACTTTTGACATCATAACTGTATTTTGCTTTTGTAATGTGAAGACCAAAGTGAAAAGCAGCCATTGCCATTGTAGTAAACTAGTTACTGCTACTATTTGTGTCCCATGCTTCTTTCATTGTAGGGATTTGTTTATGAAATTTCAGGTATGCAGCTGCCAATGAAGTGAAGAAAGCAGTCAAGACCTTTGATGTGATGGAGAGGTTTAAAGTGGAAGTGGACCAAACTGTATTCTATTCCCTTCTTCGTGCTCTTTGCAGAAGTAAAAACATAGAAGATGCCGAAGAGTTGCTTCTTTCAAGAAGGAAATTTTTCCCACTCACGGCCGAAGGTTTCAATATAATACTTGATGGTTGGTGTAATATCTTCACCGATGTGGCCGAAGTAAAGAGAGTTTGGCGAGAAATGGCAAATTGCTGCATTACTCCTGATGGTACGTCTTATGCTCTCATGGTCTGTTGTTTCTCAAAGGTAGGGAACCTTTTTGATACTCTGAGGGTTTACGATGAGATGAAGAAGAGGGGTTGGACTCCTGGTATTGGTGTCTATAACCAACTTATTTATGTTCTGACAAGAGAGAATTGCATGAAGGATGCAAGAAATGTTCTCAGTAAAATTGTGGATGAAGGTCTCCAACCCGATGTTGAAACATACAACAGTATTATAGTTCCACTTTGTGAAAGTTGCAAGCTTGAGGAAGCACGAGAGGTGATGGAAGACATGACAATGAAGGGCATTGTTCCAACCATTTTGACGTACCATGCATTTCTGAAACAGGAAGGCATTGACGAAACACTGCAGCTACTGAAGAAAATGAAAGAAGATGGCTGTGGCCCTAACAGCGACACATTTCTCATGCTCATTGATAAGTTTATCCAATTGAATGAGTCTGGAAATGCTCTGAGGGTGTGGACTGAAATGCGAAGGTACGACATTAGGCCTGGTTATGCACACTACATGGCAGCGGTCCAAGGTTTGATTAAACATGGATGCATACCACGAGCTTTAGAGTATTATGATGAAATGAAGGCAAATGGTTTTGCTTCGGACCCAATACTTGATAAGGAATTCAAAACTTTTCTACTGGCCAACAGAGACCACTGGAGAGGAGCAGGCAAATACAACCTTATTCCACAGCGTATCAAACATTCTACAAGACGGACGAGAATCCCGTAATACATGTGTCACTGTTAAGCACGCTTCTAGTGCTTCTTTTGTACGACAAAAAGGTAAATGCAAACAAATGTGACTGTGAGGTATGTGTGTTCAGTTAACAAGTTGCTCCTGAATCTTCATAACTAACAAACATGAAACCGCTAAAATTCTCGCCCGAGTTGCTTCTTCTGAAATGATTCGCTCTTGAGGGATTTTCCTCAGGGGCTGAGTTTCGAAAAATGTACATGGTGTAGCATCAAAAGGTCCTATGATTGCCATGGGTCATGGTTCTTATTGTTCTGTGTTTATAATGTGTGATCATTTCGTATCTATGCCTTCCCAGAATTACAGGTATTGCAGTAGGCAGAGGAACTGGGATTTTCTTCCCATGTAAGAAACCCTGTTAGAGGGTCATTGATTATGATTATAGCGATCAACTAAATAAATCGGTAAAAATAGATAGAGCCATTTAGTGATTTAATACATTTTTGTTATTTTGTGAAGATTAAGTTGGTCACATGAAAAGCATACGTTTTACGAGATGAGCAAGTAGGCTTCTGGATATTGGCAGTGGTTGGCTACAGAATCGGCAAAAGTTACACAGCACATAGAGAAGCTGGCGTAACAAGTGACAAAATCTTATCGTGCAAGACAGCACTTGGACAAAGATTGGTTTGCCCGGCGGGCAGAATTGGCAAAAGTTGGCAGTCCTGCAAAGAGAGGAGGTCAGGTTAGAGTAGCAAACGCAAACTTGTTCCTGCATGCACCTCTTGTTTTTCCTCCGGCGCATATCTAAAGCTGAGATGAAACTTTAGTGCCGGTGAAATATTTTGCTAATATAATAGAAACTGTTGGTGGGTGCACACCTTGAGAAAGTGCATCTAGAGGAGTACAAATATTTGTAAAAAGAAAAAGAATTCCTTTTCAAATCTCCGCCGAAAACAAAAACACTGCAGAAAGTTGGGCCATGAGCATTTCTTGTGGGCAAACGTAGCAAAGAGTGAGCAATTGACCATCCTTTGGATGGAGTAATGGAAGGGCAAGGCAGGAAATTAACCCCGTATATATAGCCAATCAACCCACACCCCAGATGTAAACGATCAGAGACGACGGCACTGGCGTAAAACATATTTGCTCTGCTCAGCACACCTTCCGCGGGCAATGGCAATGCCTCCTCACCCTTGTCGCGCCAGTGGCTGCTTGGCACTGGCCGTTGCCATCTGCATCCTGTTGCCAGGCTGCTTCTCTAGTGAGTGTATATCTATCTCTTGTTTTATTTTCACCATCAAATTTTAAAAAATCAGTCTCGGGAAAACTAGTTCAACTTTTCTGTTTTCTCCATGGTTGCAGGCAAAATTGCCCTGGAGATCTTCGAGAGGGCGTGCCACTGCTTCGACGACCACAATGTAAGTCATGTCGAAGCGTAAACATACCGGGGTTGTTAAATCTCAGTCGACTGAGACTTAATGAAGTCACAGTCGATGTTATATTCGTGAGATCTTACGTGGAAATCCATATTTTTTTTCTTTTTATATGTTGTGCCATTTGACTGAGACTGAGATCTGGCCCCACCCTAAACATACATGTTTGTGAAAGTGACGACATACATATATGGTGTTTGAAACTGCCTCTGGGCCGAAAACTTTGAAGGTGTACAACGAGTGCGCGGAGGAGCTTCGGCTGGGCGTGGAGGGGGCGTTCCACGTGGGGCGGGAGAGCGTGGACGAGTACTGCGGCGGGGCCTGCCTCGCCGAGACGGAGATGGCGCTGCGCTGCGTGGAGGAGGTCGCCCACGACGGCTTCAGGTTCTCCAACGGCGCCTCGCTGCTCGCCGTCAAGCAGGCGCTCGGCAGCGGCTGCAGCTACACGCCCGACAGAGGAACCTTCGACATACGCGAGCGCAGGGAGTGCGGCGACGGGTACGGGTACGGCTACCACGGCTACGGCGAGCAGCAGCAGCAGCTCGGCGACGGCGAGGAGGGCGGCGACCGGCGGTACGAGTACCCGGGCGGCGCGTTCGGCAACTACTGCTCCGGCACCACCGGCGGCGGCCCGGTGCAGACGCTCCTCCTCGCCTTCTTCCTTGTCTCCGCGTCGGCACTGCTTCTTGCCGTATGAGCGATAGTGATCTTAGGATGTACTTGTAATGCTTTTGGTTTCAGGTTGAGTTATCTCATTATATATACTCCGCATATTGTAATTCTCCCTTCTTATTTTTGCACGATGCACATGCGCGTGGTATTCTCTCACGGAACAAGGAAGAACTAAAACAAGAGTACCTTTGATCTTAAAAACAAGGATATCTTTATGACTGAGATTTACCTAACAAACAAAAATCCTCTAAAAATGCTAGAGCTACATGTGGAATGCTCAAAGAGACATGCCGCAACAATTTGCAGTAAAGTGTGTTTAGACTTTGGATGCTTCACTAAAAAAATACTCCCTCTATATAACTTAATATAAGACAGTTTTTTTTTACACTGTCAATCTGTCATGGGCTCTAAGGTAGTAGAATTAATATTCAACTTTCACATGCTTGTTATTGAGAAGCAAATGGAAGAGAAAATCCTCTACATAGGAAGATAGTTTTCGCATCCTACAGCTACCTTTAAAGCAAATCATACAATCCAAACACCGTTATGTCCATCCAATTGCTTTTAAAAACAAAGATCCATTTTCCTACTGGAGCGCAAAAATATCCACCATGTGCGTGGACCAACTCAAACAGGGCTAATAGCTACGGCCCTATAGAAATTGGACCTCTACACATGACCACAGCTACGGCCCTATAGAAATTTCACAAGAAAAAGATGATACAAAGTATTCCCCACAGAAACAATTTTAGATCACAGAGATGGTGCTACCAAATTCTTATAGGTTGTTTTTCCATCCCCCCATTCTCTAGAACAGCAAAATTCAGATAAAGATGCACCAAACACTTTCTCTATTCCACCACCAGAACAGAAAACGCCCAAACAGAACAGCAAAACTCAGGTAAGGTGCACTTAAATGGTCAGCAGCGTATATGAAGATGTACCATTTCCACTTAACTTCAGAGTTTCTAAAGATTTTCAAAACAATTAACAGATGCAGGCAAGATGATCTAAATCTCCGCAAAAATGTCAATATATATTTCAATTGTATTTTCAGAGCGCAAAAGGAGAGCGCACTTGCTGAGATGGTGCCCAAACAATATACTATATCAGCAAGTATTGCACTCCCTCCATCCCATAATAAAAGATCATTTTGCAGACTGTTTTAGCTTGCAAAACGATCTTATATTATGAGACGGAGGGAGTAAGACATAAAACATACCCACCAATTTCTGTTTAGTCATTTGGATACTTCTAAGTTAGTGAAAAGGGAAATTTTACACTAACTCCATATGTGCACCAGATATGTCAACCAGTTTAAACCTTCTGTCCTTGTCGAGCTCGAAATTTCAAGAATCATATGTAGCACCAAATCCAGTAAAGTGCTCCAAGATAATGTACAAGATCATAGATCTCCCGAAGTAAAAAAGGTTAGGGCAATTATTCGTGTACCAACAATAAAATTCTTTTCTTTTCATCATCATCAGACAACACACCGACCAATATCACTATTCCCCCACAACCTGTATACCTCCACACTGCGTGCTATCAAGACTAATTCATACACAAGTACTAATTCCTGTCCTACACTATGGTTTGAGCTTTGAATGACAGCTACTTGTTGCGATACCAAAATCTCTGTTGTGAGAGCCCTCAAGGGAAATGGCGTCGTTTGATAGTTACTGGATTTCAACTTGTCAGATGACAGCAGGGATAGGACACAGGAATGGTACAGTCAATGCTTCAGCGGATGGGGATGATGTTGTTCAGGTTCAGGAGAGCCTAGATTGAGAAGGAACCTGTGAATCATCTCGAAGCTGGTGAATGTTATAACTGCAGCAGGAGTTGTCCGCAACAGATTTGTGGCGCATCCACGGTAGAACCCAGCTACACCCTCTGCATGATAAACCTTTCTAACACAGTCTATTACCCCTCTGTATCTCGCCTCGGAGTGTGCTCCCTGCTCTTGCAACCTTGATCGAACAACCTGTAATTATTATCAGGAGTGAAAATAGTCTGAGATAATGTAACAAGAGTATTGAGAGTATATTCATTTAACCAGTAACAAGAGTAGGGTAGATCATAATTGCAGAGGATTGACTTAATACCTCATGAGGATATGTTAAGGTTGATGCAGCTAGTTTTGCCAGAGATGAAGCAACAGCGACATCACCAAAACTTAATGCTTCAACGGTAGTGTTATCTGTGAAAACAAGATGATGTCATACGAAGAACTACAAGACAGGCCATCCAATATGGCCTCTACAAATTTAGCAGCCATGATTATCCAGATACATTTCTCTGTGGAAAAACATTTGCTGAGAGTAATACCTCGCTCAGCCAGGTAAGCTTTTATCTTCTCGTATACAGGGAACTGAATGGCAACATGAGTGATACCAGCCAAGGCAGGGACAAGTCCACTTTTGGAATAAAAAAACCAGCAACCATATCAAAACATAGAAATTTTGAGTCATCAGCATGGTTAAAAGTTACCCACAATAGGTATCCATCATTCCGTCAAAAGTTACCTGTATAGTCCACGGATGCCTTCCTCATGTGTTATTCTCGTCAATGCAGCAACCGTGCCTTTGTATGGGATCGTCGCACCAGCTCTTACTCCTTGGGTCTACAAAACAAAACATAAAGCTGTTGTTGACAGGAATCCTGGTATCTACTGGGATAATATTTCTTGGAATAATGCTAGGTATGACCACTAAATACAAGAGACCCGAAAAGTTAAATATATTCAAAAGCATGTTAGCTAAAGATGGTTCCCTTGCAAACTGGATGTATTTAATTACGTACAAAATTGCCAAGACATTTTGAACAATCCGTACTTATTGGTGAATGAAGTATTTCAGAAACAGAAATTTCTAACTACAGTTATGTTTTATCATCTCTACTACTGCGCAGGACAAGGCATGAATCATATCATACCTGAAATCTTGTCTTGACAACCCAAAGTGGATTTGTTGCTATTGTAGTTGCAGCTCCAGCACATGATGCAGCCATAACATTTGCCCCTAGAGAGAGTTGATGGCTTCCTTCTACAATATTAATGTAAAGTAGGACTTGAGAACTGATATGACATGATCCTATGGAAGGTTACAACATCCCAAAACAATACCATTGTAAGGTTAAAGCACTAACCGCTGGAAGCAAGCATGCTTTTAAGCTGCTCGTATACAGTAAAGTAGACCTGCCCATTCATACGGGAACGGTTAGCTCTACAACAGAATTTACCATATGTGTGAAAGTAAAAATATCATACTCACGGAAGAAAAACATAACAGTGATTGCTGTTAGCAAAAATAGGGGCAAATACTCACCGCCCAGTTAGGCAAAAGCGCCAGAATAGTCGGGGAAAGACCACGATACAATCCCCGAAAGCCTTCCCGTCTAGCAATCTGTTCTAAGCTCCCAATGATGACACTACCTAGTCAATATATAACAGAGAATCCTGTCAAAAAAGATAGAAGAGAGAACTGATGTGATGTAATAAATCTCAGCTTTCTAAGCCATCCCAAAATATAAGCAACAACAATATGTTGGTACGACAGGACGTAACAGTCCAATGGAAGTCCAGCACACATTTGTATGCACATGATGTGTGCTAATAATCAGAATTCTAGATGCAAAGTCAATAGTAATGAGCATTAAGCATGGACATCATCCATGCACACATCACTTTCTCCGCATGCATGGGATTTGCTGACGGCTTTCTCCTGGAGTATCATTGGGCAGAGCTATGCCCAAAAGCATCACCGCAGCATATTTGAAGTGAAAAACATTTTATTTTATTTGCATTCACCACGTGGATGAGCATAAGTCCTAAAATTTAATTGTAAGCTCAGCATATCTTTAATAATCCCTGGAACATCAGGCTTAGAAATGTTATTACGCTCTATGTTCTGTGCACAACTAAGGTTCATAGATAACTTATTCCCATATAAAATAGCCAATACATATTTTTAGAACGTGCTGCCAAGAAAAATAGTCTATACATATTGGGTGTGGAATGGGAGCATACAGTGTAACTAGGTGCAAAGGAACTCCATACATTGCACAAAAACACGTAGATGAGATCAGTTACACCAACTCAGCCACCCCACAGACCATCTTTCATGTTCTTACGCGTCCAGATGTTTTCCAACAATGCAGCCTTCACCGTTCTTCTTTCATGATATTCTCCTGTAATTAGCTGCACCTTCGCAACCTTCTGCTCATCCAAACCCTCAGAGGAGACATTTTAAACTGATTCTACTAAAGAGGGCAGATGGCAGCGTGGTCTCTTCAATTGCTATTATTTACACTCTTTCCCTATTACCCTTTTAGCAAACAACTTATATTTTTTTGGCAGATGGCGTCTAGAATATGTCATTCCATTTTGTCAGAAAGACTTCGAAGTCCACTGCTTACAGGACAGCAGAAATTGTTGTGTTCTTCAGTATTGTTCAAAATCAAAGGAATGCTGGAATTTAAACTTATTTGCTAGTGAGATCTTCCTTAATCCCTAATGGGAAGACTTATTAAGGGGCAATAGCACAACCAGATTGGCAGTAGATTCGTGACTCATGAGAGAAAAAAGAAACTAGATGACATTGAAGGATTGCGCAACGAAATCGTGGGAGATTGGAAAGGAGGTCGGGGTAGGACAGCTAAGCCTAGATTGATCTACCAAGCATTTGTTTTGCCTGGCAATCACTGAATACCAACATAAACATATTCAGCACTAAAGCAACCTATCAGCATATAGCAGCCACATGTACAACTGGTTGTTCATGCGGGTTCTCCATGCTTTTCACATGCAAGAACAAATACATGCATCATGCATACCCCTTTCCACTCAACATGCAAGATTTCATAGGTCACACAATCTCAGATCACCACGTGATGCCTCCCATATGATTCAAGTAATTCTAATAACTAATAAGTGACGATTACGCAAGACACAAACCTGTAAGAAGGCCGAGGATGACATAACTGATCCAACAAGCGATTCAAACCATTATAACATTTACAATCAGATGTGTATTCTATTGCTGAAAAGGATTCTCTCTCAACTCCCTGACTTCTGGATTGTCAAGAGAAGCCACAAACTAATACTACACGACATCCCCTCCACGCAGGCACTCTGCTCTAACCAGTGGATACATTCAAGTCTAGCATCAAAACTCTGTTCCGAAAGTAGGTTCATCCGTTCGTGTAGTGTTCTAACACTATGACCGTAAACTGAAGCAAAAAACTGCAATAGTTCATCTGAAGAAATGCTCACCTCCAGCTGTGCCAGGGGCTAGCTTGGGCCAGCCGTGCACCTGGAACCTCGTCTTGATCACATCGAGCGGGCACACGAAGGTCGCTGCTATCACGCCTGCGCACAAGCCCCCAAATCCAGCAATTACTTCCCACACATGCAAATACACCCCCAAGCCGAACAACACACTAGACCGAAATGGAGAGAGCTGTGGCCACAAATTACCGGCGGAGGCGCCCGCGACGGCGTTGGAGAGGGCGCTGCGGGCGGAGGTGGCGGGATGGTGCGAAGAGGACGCGGCTGCCGGCGGCCCCGACGCCGTCGCCGGCGAGGTCGCGACGTCCCCCGGCATGTCGCGCGCCTCCCCGATCTGCGCCAGCGGTACGGGGCCTCCGCCTCCGGAAACAGAAGCCCGGCGCTAGAGCGTCAACGACGGCGGCGCCTGGCCTGATCACATCGGCGGCGGGGTCGCCGGCGGGCGTAGGGCGGGCGGGGGCGGAGGTGGCGCCTAGGGTTGTGGTTTGGGATCTGGGCGAGCGGGAGCGGGGATGGGCGCACGGAGGGAGGGACGGGGAATTCGTGAGCTGCTCTATTCCTTCCTCCGCAGCTCGTCCGCTTGCGCTTCTCGTATGATATCCTCCTCCCTCCTCGCAGGCGAGGCGAGGCGGAGGTGAACATGCCCTGGGCCGGGTGGGCCCCGGTGGGTGGAGCGGGGCCCATCCCCCACACTGACGAGTGGGCCTAGGTTATTCGGTTGGGCCCGCATGTCATGTACTACTACTCGAATGGACGGGGTTGGTTCTTTCCTTGCACGAACACGTCGCTCTGGATTCTCGACACCGGCGGGCACGTGCCGCTGCGGTGGCTGGCCCGCGGGCCCAGGCAGACTCAAATGGCTGCGTGTCTGGTGGGACCCAAGTGTCATTGGTACTAGCCCCGCATTTTTGGGAGCAATCGTTTACGTCCCGTGTAGCACTTGTTCGTTCAACCATTTTTTTAGTGAAACTCGTTCGCTTATTAATATTTTTATTATAGTTTCAGAGAACTTGTTTACTCCTGTGCTGCTTCGGCTCTTCGCGAGACAAGGCCACGTACGTCTCCCGTGCAAGCCCTTCCGCTGCCACGTCACCGTCTTACGGGCCCAGCGTAGCAATGGCCCTGTGCCATGGACAGCGGACGCGCATGTGGTAGCTGAGCGTTCCCGGCGGCTGGGTCCACGGCGATGTCCGGTCGCCGCTTACTGGTGGCGTGGCGCACCGCTGGCCATCCGTCGCGGAGAGTCGGAACTGACCGAACGGCCCCGATGCGGCCGTGGGGCCACGGCGCCGCCTCCCTCGGGCCACACAAACATTTTGGTTCTGCGCCTCGTCTTTTCCTTTGATGCCCATCGATAGAGGTGAAGAAAAGAAGCACTCTCCATGCTTATCCTTTTTTTTTTCCTTTGCCGGGTATATTCATGCTTATCAATCTGCATATGATATCTATCTAAAAAAGTCCATATGATAGGCACGTTTCATGACTTTCATCCGGCCCAGCACATAAAACACAAGTTGGTATTACTAGCACAAATGTCCGTGCGTTGCAACGGAAAACATAATTACAGTGTATTTAAATTTAGTTAGAATTATATGGGAAAACACAAAGATAGTTCATGTGAAATTTAATGCTCACCAAAATCCGTAGACCAACACAATAACAATTTATATGCTAATTCCAGATGGATTTCAAATTTATTTATATAGAGCTATAATTCATCATCATATTCTAATTTAAAATAGAACTGGTTATCTTTGATCACATCTTGAAATATATTTCATGATGGTTGTAGAGATGGTGTCGGCATGTGTTGGGTGCCTGGTGAGAACCACTTGTCATCGATCCATGTCGTTGTCACACAATATTAACAAAACAAAAAAATAATAAAGTGGAAATGCTGGGATTTTACACAAACAATTCTACAAAACAAAAATAGTAGGTAGCAAGCTCCAGAGGACCTAAAAACATGTGTTTCAATTATGAAAAGATGATACAGATGTCATCAACTTTTAAGGAGAAGATGTACCGACTTATCTATATAAATAAAATTAATATTAATAAAAAACATAAATAATGAGATCACACGATTGATTGACATATTAATATTATTTATGGAAGAGGATAATGAATATACTTGGGGCTCAGTAGCATGAGATTTGCTTTTATTATTGGGCTTGTTTATATTTTTTGTTTTTCTGTTTTCATGTAGCTTACCACACGTACCATGTGGTTGGGCTTGTTGATATTGATAGGACCAATTGTTGTTTGTGCCGATAAAACCGGTGGTTATCGTTGCAACTATAGAAAAAATTGTATATTTCTAGAGACCCATTGTTGTCGCTAATTCTTCTTTTCATCACAATTGTCGATGGTAGTCTCTCTTACCCATCTATTCATGTGGAACATGATTAATCCCACAACTATGGGTTTGATCATCATACTGTATCACAAAGCTTCGCGAGTCTCTCTTGCCCACCAACTTATAATTTTGTGGACTTAATGCTCCTAGTATATTAATTGATATTTCAAACCTGCAATAGTAAAAATCTTATAAAGAAATAAAATCATTAATATTTTAGCTGTATAAATACAACATTAATTTAAAAAGTATGTTGATATTTTTGCCGTGCTCATTTTCGTTCCTCCATAAATATCGTGTGTGCACCTTTAACCCTCCTTTTTAGCCTCACACAATCCTGATTCCGCCCGTTTAAATCCTTCCTTATTATATCATTCCTTTTACTTATTAGCCTCACATAATTTCTTCCTTCCGTTTTCCTGTGCCTTATATTAAGGATTCCATCCATTTGAATATTGTGCCGAGCCCACCCACCACAATCCTTCCATAATCCTTCCTTTGAATATTCCGCCGAGCCCACACAATACTTCCTTTGAATTAGCCGCATCTATTTAGCCACATTCATTTCCTTAATTAGCCCATCCGCTTATTTAGCTCTTCTCTTTTCACGTTTGTTTGTTAATTATTTGGCTATATTAACCGGTATGTGTGTCCTTAAAATTGCGAGGTGGGATTATTCATCAAGTAGGATGTTTGTCTCAGTTGGTTGTTGTAGCCCAAAGAAATAGAAGAGATCTAACGTTCGATTCTCCACAGTAATGTATTTTCTCTCTCTCTATGATCTAATATAAGGAAGCCCACTCGCGTGCATGCAGCCCATAAGGGAAGACCCATGTTATTTGCGGCCAGTTAGCTGGGCTGGGATAGCTGCCTGTACGTAGTTATTATGAAATTTCAGGCCCATGTCACCGACGAACCAGAGAGTTTTATCGTGGACATCTGGGCGATGTACGAACGAACGCTAACACATGAAAATATTAGTACCACCTCGAATATGTTTTAAATACAAACTAAAAGCGTAAATTCATGAGAAAAAGCGTATTGTGACGGTGAACCCACGAAGTCAATCCGTGCTTTATTATTAGGGAAAGATAGGCACATTTCATCCCGCCAAGCAAACAAAACAAAGTCATGCCTCTCATTCAATAAATACATATAATGAAATGAAAACATAAAAAAGAAAAATCATAACTCACACAGGCGACTCATTTTTTTTCCTGCTAGCTAGCTAGGGCATCCCACACTGAACCTAGACCGGACGTCATATCCGTCCACAGACAAAGACAAAGGGACCAGTCCGTGGACATGGATACGGAAGCCGGCCATCCAACATTAGCCGCATCTATTTCAAACCGTCATTCAACTAACCGAACGATTTTCATCAAAAAACTCATCCATAAACAGCATGCAAATATGTCTAGTGCAACAATAGTTCAAAATCAACGAGATTTAACGAATGTTCAACAAATTTTACATGGATGGATCATTTTATCCCACGCATATTGTCCTTTGAGCTTCATCCAACAATGTACTCCCTCCGTTCAGAATTACTTGTCCCAAAAATGGATGTATCTAGACGTATTTTAGTTATAGATACATCCATATCTGAGACAAGTAATTCCGAAGGAGGGAGTATGTGTGTGAATGATATGCCCTTTGACCTGTAGTACATCATGACAGCATGTGCATGCTACACAACGTGTAGAGCAGCAATGGGTGAATGAATCAATCAACATGTAGAGCAAAAAGAAGCAAAATTTACAATTTCCATGGTTGCCGCGCGCAATGGTCACATCGCCTCCAGCCGATCAACCGCATCACAATACTTTGTGAGTGAACTCTGGATGGCGTACCATTGGCACGTTAAGGGCTTGGCACTACGTTCACAGATGATGTGCATGTCATAGGGCACACTGTGCTTTCACGCATGAAAAGAATCATGCATGCACTGCAAAAGACCCACCCCCTTCGGCTCCTGCCTACAAATTTCGCTGATACCAACCACGCATCGCACAACAACTCATCCTCCTTCATCAGGTACCCCACCATCCTTCTTACTCCAAAAACGACAAGATGTTCGAAAAATAAGCTCAATGATATTTGAATGAACGCGTGCCAGGAGTGGAAGAGAATGGAACCGAAACGAAGGATTTCAGTGGGCCAAGGGTGTCAGAATCCTACGCGGCGGCGGTCCGGACTCCCCCCCCTCACCTGTTGTTTGCTTCCAATTTGCGAAAAAAATTGATATCTGGACCGCTTCACGGACCGTGTTGGATGGCAAAACATGTCCAAACCATATGGTCCGGACGGGTGTGGGCAGTTTGAGGATCTGCTTTGGAGATGCCCTTATGTTAACAAAAAGAAGCTTGACACGTACAGTGACGGATTATTATTTCAAAGAGACCTCCTCGCTGATGAATTACATAGCTTTCAGCCCTCTGACATGATCTTACTTGGATTTAGTGATTCTCTTTCGGAGCAAGGAACCACCCTTGACAATTAGATGATGTGAAACTTGGAGATACGTCAGCAGGCAGCTCTAGTGTAATAATGTGTACCTTTGGCGTGTGTGGGGCGGAGACGCTGATGATCCTTCACATGTAACAGAACTTGTTTCTTCCTCTCTTTTTTAATGAATGAAAAAGACATGCAATGCTCTTGCATGATCTTGAAAAAAAAATGTACACCCTTGTGTCAAGTGCAAATCAGGCAGACTAGGTGAACTTGCGGGATGCTACGAGCTCTATGTATGGATCCGTTCTTCTTGGGTCGATTTCAAGTTTCAGTGACAAAAGTAATCAAACCACTTCATTTCTCAAGTAATGATTTGGGTTCTTATCCTTTTATCAAGTAATCAAACCACTTCATTTCTCAAGCCAAGCAATCGGCGAACCAAATAATCCCATTCATAGAATGAAACCGAGTCCATGGAGTCATGGACCACAGCATCCACGAGA